AACACGTCTCTTCGGAACCGCTGAACGCCACTTTTCCCATGATGTCCTAATATCCCGACAAGAACGCGTTCTGTATGAGTGTAGGACAACCCACCGGTCAAACGTCAACATCCAGTATCTTGCCAGAGAACTGCAGAGACAGTATGAATGCGCATTACTCTGTGCAAGTCTTTTTAATACTACATTAGTTTGTTTTCACATGCAGTACGATCACAAACCCCGATACAAAACGTGACAACCCAAGCACGGAATACCGACAACATTTACAGCACAGCACTGAGCTACGGGATGTTAAATCGTGTTGAATGTAGTGGTTTCGACACCACTCTGACGGGTCTCACACATCGATGCCTAATCTCCTGGTCACACAGGTGCCCAAAGGCGCTGCAGTACTTACAGCGGGGTGCTCCTGGTAGTCTTGGCCGATCTCCACCCAGGCTCCCACGGGCATCACTGCCTGGTTCCTCTCGGCAAGCACCTTCTGGTTCACGACCAGTCTCAGGGCTTTGGGTCTCATCGAGGCGGGCTGGTTCTCGCTTTTGCGGCTGTGTACTGATGCCCTGACAGGGCCCGAGGCTCGCTTCTCGGCAGGACTCATCGTCCGGTCCTCTAAACTCACACGAAGGTAAAGCAGCCTCCTAGCCGGTTACACTGAACCAACGTCCGACGAATCGGCGCTCCTCCCAGACTAACAGTTCAAACTTCTGCAGGGAAGGACGCCACCGCCTTCGCAACGGGCATAGAGCCCACCTCCTAACGCCCCATTGGTTACAGCTCAGCCATCCTGCCTGTCCATACGTTTTCATTTGTGCCAATCAAAATCAAGCGTCTAAAAACCACGCCTACATTGCGTCCTTGAGCTCTTCTCGAAAGAAACGCTTGTTGATTGAACTTAGTTCCGGAGAACTACTTTAATAGTTTTGTGTTGTTACGTATAGATAACTCGAATATGAAATTGATAGTCGTAAAATGATTAAGCATTTTTTGTCCAAAAATATAACAAAAGAAAAATAATTTTGTTTAAATGACTGAAATAACTGAACAGCCACGTTGAGGTCAGGGCTTTATTGATCAGAAGAACGTACAAAAAATAATGTCGCGGTTTAAAATCACTGGAAAGGAGAGTCGTTGTCTTATGTTTAAACCAATGCCAGTGAATTAAGCATACATGTGACATAAGCAAAGCGCTTGCTGTATGATACTATGTTATTTTCCAAGTGGATTATCCAGAAAACCGAATTACAGTATCAAACATAAGGTCAGCGGCACTAAGAAAAGCCATTTACTGCACGAAAACATTGCAAATAATTTTTAAATGAAATGTGTTAAATGTAATATAAATTAAAACTGTGTTCAAGCGTACATTTTAATCAGAGCAACACGCACGAAAAATAATCTGTCGGGAAAATGCAAAACATCTTTTTCACCCTCCTTAAATATTGTAGTATTGTAACGCTCTCGGGTTCGTGCAGGAGAAAGGGCAAGCGGAGACAAAGTAGGCACACAAGCACCAGCTTTTATCCTCCTTTACAAGAGCACCAACCACAGGATTTTCACACACATCAGGGAATCGACGGAACACGTACACAGTTTTAGGGTGGTAACTCTTTAACAGACACTACACACTTGTGTTGCACTAAGCTTCAGAGAACACTTAAACGAACACAGTTCTATTTACATGAGCAAGGTCAGCTGCTGGTCATCTTATAGACCTTCGGACTCCCCCCCAGCTACAACTCCCAGCCTGCTTTGCTGTTCCCTCGGCGCCTAGGTGCACTTCCTCCCGCTTCACTGCCCCCACCTGAAGTGCCTGGCGTCCCGCAGACGTCGAACACTCCCCTCAGGCTGTACTCAAAGTCAGCTAATGGCTGTGGAGCCCTGCGCGAGGGACCGCCGCGGTGGTAGCTGGCGATCCGCGGTCACCCCGTTGTCGGCCGGCTCCGGCCCCGGCTGCCCCTCTGGAGTCTCCCTGCGGGGCTCGTCCTCCCGGACCCAGTAGGGTGCCAGGCGGTCTCGGTGTAGGACCACCACTCTCCCCCGGTTTCGCAACCGGCCCTGGCAGCAGACCTGTCCCACCACCCCGTGGACCACAGCGGGCCCCTCCCACGACAGCGCCAGCTTAGGGCTGTACACCCAAACTACAGTAAGTCCCTGGGCTGGAAGACAGGCCCTCTGGCCCCTCCTGCGCCAACATCGCGGCCACCCCCGAGTCACTTGCGTCGGTATCTGGAATATACGGTAACCGTGGGTCGGGGCACCCCACCACAGCTTCACGTAGCCAGCAGAAGGCCGTCTCACAGCCAAAACGGCGGCCCTTTTGAGTGAGGCGGAGAAGCAGGGTTGGCGATGCTGGCGAAGTCCGGGACGAACCTCTGGTTATACGAGGCCAACCCCAGAAAGCTGCGCAGCTCTGCGACGGTGCGGGGTGTCGGCCAGCCCCTCACTGCAGCGACCTTACCTGGGTCTGTAGCCACCCCTCACGGTGCCCCAGCGTGCCCCAGGAAGGTCACCCCCCACTGCAGGAGCTCCCACTTGCTGGGGTTAAACCTCAGGCCAGCATGGCGGATGCAGGCCAGCACCGTCCGACGCACCCAGAAGTTGCTCAGGCTCCGGGTGTTCGCTGCCACTGGGTCTGGTCTCCTTTAGGGTCAGCCTGTGCTTGACAGAGTCCACTAGCATCTGCCATGGGGTGTCCATCCTGCCCGCTTCTGACACCAATATAACGCTTACGGGTTCGTGCAGGACAAAGGACAAGCAGAGATGAAGAAGGCACACAAGCACCAGCTTTTATTCTCCTTTACAAGAGCACCAGCCACAGGATTTACACACACATTGTGAACCAACAGAACACGTACACAGGTTTAGGGTGGTCACTCTTTAACAGACACTGCACACTGATTTATAGGGCACTAAGCTTCAGAGAACACTTACCCTCAGCGCCTAGGTGCACTTCCTGTTCACCACCGGGCGAGGGCGCTACAGTATTCAGGAGGAAGACCTGCAAGTTCATATAGAGTCCCTGTTTAAAAGCATTGCCGTTTTGTTTTCAGGCAACCTTTCAAATTGCAGAGCTGCTGCTTTAGCTACAGGGGTACTGCAGTGCAGTTATTAAGGACCTGGACTTCTAAAGCTATGTTTGCGACAGGTCAGGCAAGTTGTTTTTCATGTGAACAAGTACTCACCCATAGTGTGTATGTCTTAATATGTGTGTATGTTTTAAGTCAGTTTGGACAGGGAATTAATTTACCGCATTTTAAACTTGAAATTCTGAAGCAAATGGCTTGCAATTGGAACATATGCTTTATAAAAATATTGTTTTTGGTCCTACAGGATTCTGTTTTGTTATAGGCTCAATCAGGCAGAGACCCTGTCTTTGCCTTTCATTTTAAAGAAGAGACTGGTGAGACATTTGAAATATCCCAAAGCTGTCAAAGCTGCTCACAGTATTGTTACAGGTAGCAGAGAAGTTATTATTTGTCACTGAGCGTTGGAATCTATTATTTTCTTGTAATAAGCTAATGTTAAGCAAAATGCCTATAAGAACAAACAACGTTTTATTTTAAAGGGTTGACCATTTTACGGCTTTAGTGTCTGGATTCTCTTTTCCGCTTTCAAAGTATTCCAGCTGAAAGTCTTCTGTCTTCAGGACTGCCTTCAAGATGTTCTTTATCTGTGTTGAAAGAGAATGCACATTTGTGAGTCAATCACTGTAATAACCAAATTAGCGCTTGCTGTGGAGCGTTTCAGTGTTGTGTAAGATTTACAGCTGAATACAGTATACGGGTTTATAGATTTTTGCAGTTGTTGTCTGGACTGCGATGCTTACTGTACGTAATTTCTCATCCAAATCAAATACGAATCATAATGTCCTCGAATTAGTATGGTGCACCTTTTAGAAAATGGTTATGTTTTCTTATCACTTACCTCTTGCACAATGGCTTTAACAATGTTGTGGGTGTTTGGCTCAGTGGTACAATTTGTGGTGACATCAAATGTCAGGTAAAGCACTAGGGAGTCTGTGGAAAAAACATGTAAATGCAAATCCTTCTTATTTGGCAGTAGCTACATTTGTAATGAGTCCAGCAATGTGTGTCTATAAATACCAGTGTACTGTTTCATAACATACTAATTTATTTGATTGACACTTTTTCAAAATGACTTACATTTGCTCCAGCTGTGTATTTTACTGGAACACTGTGGGTGTAGTACTGCGCTCAGTGGTAAACAGCAGGGTCTCACCTTTCAGTCATGAGTCCAGCACCCTCAACACTCCTGTCTACAAATGTACTGTGAGAAAGCTGGAGTAAGGGCAGTGACTTCTCAAGGAGAACTGAATGACAGGATACCCTCAACTTTCTCCGCAAAGCACAAGAAAGCTGCGTGTTTTGGTTTCTTTTGTGAATGTTTGATGTGATAAACCACCTGTCAGTGTTAAATGGCGAGACTGTGACAAGAAGCAGAGAGCCGATATTTGCTCTTCCAGTGGTTGTAGAAGGCATCACTTCTGAGGGACACTGACAGGACTGGGGGGCTATGCTACTCACTGTCTGGTTCTGATTTGCTTGGCTCAGGATTCTCTGTGATCCCAGGCGCTATGGGCAGAAACCCTGTCCAGTTGTGCAGACCTGCAAGGGAAAAATAAAGATCAGATCAGGAGAGGAAACTCAAGGCTGGGGAGAAGTATATGTATAGTAAAAATATCTTCACTCCCCCGTTTAAACCTTCTGGATGAGAGGGGAAAACATCCACCAGCACCAGCAGCAAAAAATCACTCTAGTGGTGATCTAAGCGAAAATCGATCTTAGTGTTGGTGAAACCTCATTTTGTGCTACTTTGTTATAAAAAGAGAAGCGATCTGAAAAGATGTGTGGATATGTTACAGGTAATAGGTTTATTCCAAACCTATTAATAAACCTAGTACTTGTACCTTTGCAGCCTACGCATGCTGACGCAGCTACCCACCTGAACTACTATGTTACAGGTAGTCATGATAGGGTAATGGATTAGCACTGCTGTTTCACAGTTTTTGGGACCTGGGTTTGAGACTGGGGGCACCTTCTGTGTGGAGTTTGCACGTTCTACTGTGGCTGCATGGTTTCCTCTAACAGTCTAACAACATATTGGCTAGGTTAACTGGCACCTCTAGATTGTCCCCTGCATGTGTGCATGTCCTGTGACACACTGACGTCCCATCTGGGGTGCAGTCCAGCCCTGTGTCCTGTGACACACTGACGTCCCATCTGGGGTGCAGTCCAGCCCTGTGTCCTGTGCCTTTCCAGTAAGGCCCCAGTTCTCCACCACCAGCCAAGGATAAAAAGCAGCTGCTGAAATGAGATGTTATACTTACTGATCGCCTCCATTTCCGGGGTAAGAAATCCCAGCTTCAAAACATAGGAAAACAGGGATGCTGGGGAAGACAGAGAGAGAGAATGAGATGAATCCTCAGGGAGGATGCTGAAGGAGAGCAGAGGAAGGATTCGTGCTCTAGTCATCTGGGAAGGACGCAGTTAAATTTCTCAGGGAGCAACATGTATTCCCAGTCCAGCAGATGTAGATTATTGCTGGACATGACCCCCTCGTTATGAGCTGTCTCAGGTTCCTAAATTTTACAGCAAGCAGTCTCCTTCCTCTCTACAGGCAACATACTACACACACAAAAAACTCCCTAGCTCGTATTCCTACATGTATGAAGTGCTCCCAGCTACATTCTTTTTCTGCTCTGTCAAGTTGGTTTCTTAAAGAAAAGCCATTTCACTTGAAGCGATGTCATTAGCTATTCGTCAGGAGTCATTATTTGTTTATGGGTATTACTGTATGTCTCCATAGCATCCCCCCTACAATTAACTCCAGCAAGAGGTCCAGAAGCCCCTTTAACTGGACCCTCTTTGCTCAGCTGAAAGATGTTGCCTCTTTATACAAATGAAGAAAGAATGATGGGCAGCACTGTGAAAGAGAGGGTTTCTCCTTTAGCTCTGCTTTATTTTCTTCCTAGAGAGAATATGAGTATGTAACACTCAAGTATGTATTCGGACTGTGGGAGGAAACAGGGAGAACATGCAAACTCCACACCTAAGGAGACGTAGTAATCATTTTCTTCCTGTCTTGAAAATAGCAGGAGAATGATCCCACAGGGAGAGAAGGAGAGTCCTGATGGGGCCGGAAACAATCCAGTTGGAATGAATTACCAGTCCCCTTGGATTTTCTCATGCAAAACTCCTCATGTAAGGCAGTACAGCCTCTTAAAACACAGGGAGGACAAACAAACGACTTAAAACAAAGCAGGGCCTCTCCATCTCCCAGCCTTGAAGCACAATTTCTTCACAGCCAGCTAACTTGGCGTCAAGCCCCATGGGTGACTGACCATGCTTTGCAGTCTTGTTCAAAAGGCTTTGTGGTTTCGGCAGCATCCCCGGTGATCAGCCCTTCTAACACGGCACTATAGCATAGTGCGATAAACCAAAATAATAACAAGGTCCCACAAAGAAGTATGGAAAAGCAAGGTAGCTATAAGGTTTAAGCCACTGATTCCCAATCCTCGTCCTCGTGATCCAAACACCTGTTGTTTTATGTTCCAGCCGAGCCCTCGGTGCCACAATTCATTGACTTGATCATAATAAGATTGAACTGTTAACTCCCACCTCTTAAACAAGGTGTAGCTTTAATTATTGTATTATGTAAGTGAAATAAAATCCCAAACTTGTGACTTGAAACAACATGCAAATATTCAATTGCAGCAACTTCTAAGATCAAGTAAGGCTTCAGCTATCTAATGAAGGTGGGCTGGAATGCCAACCTGGTGTGAGTCACCTGGACCAGGATTGGGAACCACTGATTTAATAATAATAATAACAACAACAACATCACTTTATTAAGTAAGCTTCAGTATTTTCCAAAGCTTTAAAAAGTGGAAAAAATCTAAACTTTCCAGCAGGTGGAGCCAAAGTCAACAGAACTCCCTTGAATCAATCGTTCATATTCATCCTCCCGTTTTCAGCACCCTCTTCATCCTAAGATGTTGCAGTGAGCCAAAGCCTAGCCCTGCAATGTATTTGGACTGTGGGAGGAGACAGGGAGAACATGCAGACTCCACAAAGAAGGAGACACAGGAACCCATAGCTGTAATGCTACCCACTATGCCACCATGTTTAATTAAAACAAAAAATGGTCACATTGATATTGTCCATCTGCTTCTATACGTATGAGCATCATATTTCTTATCCCAGAATATCTACACTTGTATATGTCCATTGCTGAGGAATGCAAAGTAGATTGTAAATTAAGAAATTAACACAGTCATTAAGACAGTTTCCTTTCGGGACAGAGCACTGGAAATTCACTGCAGCTGGTGCATAACCAGTCAAAGAAAATCCCCTCTTGGTTGACGGAAACATGTATTTTACATGTTATTGGTATTGTCTCATCGGAAAATACAGGCAAGCAAATCTGTTAATTTTCAGCAATAATCTGCACTTTAATCAATGCATCAACGCTGCTGTCAGTTCTTACATATACAGATTTTACAGTATAACAATTTTACCATCCATTCTTTATAAACTATTTAACATAACTGCACTTCAGCACAACAATTTTGTCGTATTGAAAGTGGCAGATCTGTACTTCATTATACTGAAATAATGGGAATATTATTATTTGAGTTCCAGCAGTCTACAATAGGAAACTTTCAGGGGTGCAGATGTACCTCCTGCAGCACCAAGTGCTTATTATAGAGGGCAAAGCAATTTCTCATGAGCACAAATCCCATGTAGGGGTTTTGATGATCGCCAGGATAGAAAAGGTGAATTGTACTCACTCAACAAAGGCACCAGTAACTTCATTTTGGAAAAGGTCAAAATTCTCTCTGGGTGGAACTAGAAAAAAGGCAGCTGTAATAACTGTTTAAAATCCAGATAACAGACAAAGCTCTCATTGGTCTCTTGGAAAAGGTGTTTCTTGGAAAGTGCTGTTCATAAACAGATCGGAGAAGCGGTACTTATTAAAGAGTGAAATAACCTACCCAGGAGCTAAAAACTAAACAAGTCATAGACATAAATACTGTTTTACAAGCATGAGACCTCCTCCCATTTGTAACTTTTACTAACAAATGTTCGCAAGATTACCAGATCCAAATCACAAAAAAACAATATTAACAATATTAAAAAACAGTAATTTCTTTCTTTATTGTAGAGCACTAAAATTTCTTTTATTTTCTATAGACACAGACTCAAGTATAGACAGACAGCTACTACACATTAACACTTGCACAGACACATAATTGTCCTACCTGCAGGGAGATAATACTGATTGCTCTTCCTATGCTTCCCAGGTGTCTGTGATTGGAAGTGAGTGTCTATAACACTCAGTCTATAAGTGGCTATACAGGAGACCAGACTCCTCCTGCAGGTTAGGAAAAAGTCATCTATTGACTAAGAGATTGACAGGTAAGTTCATTGTTGGAATTGGCTGAAAAGCTTGTATGCAAAGTATTTTTATGACATAGCTCTTGAGAACATGGGTATTAGCTAACCTAATTCAGGACTGGCTGTGCAGTGAAACAAAACCTTACTGGCTAACTGTTTCCATCCTTCTCACTCCGATGAAGGAGGACCTTTGTAGCACAATTCATAGAATTCAAGGGCAGTAACATCAGCATGATCTTCCCCAGGGCAACTGCAAATTCACCAATGAGCTGCCTTGATAAGGGTGTCAAGGACAGCGCCCAGCTAGTCCACATCAATAAATCAACAAGGGTGAATAAATGAGGGACCTGTTTAGAATGGGAAAATACAAAACACTGGCAAAGCAAGACTAAGGTTAATTTGTGATGCTACTTTATAACTGATGCAAGGGAACTGGGTGCCCACACAACATGCTTTGCCAAAGGTCTGTTGAAAAAACTACGCCCAGCTGGTAATATAATACTCATTTCAGGTGTAAGTGCAGACAAACGAGCATTAGATGCAGTGGGATACCACACAGAGAAAAATGAGAGATTAGCATGCAGATCCTGTAGATCAGGGAACTTGAGCCTGAGCATGCTCTAACACCACAGGGGAGAAGTGCTTCATGAGTCTTAGTGAGCCCCAGACACCAGACAATCCAAATGCAGCAAAAGAGTTCGATCAGAAAGTCGGCATAAATGCATGTGGAGAGTGAAATAATATTGGCCTTTATTTTGCTTTTCGAAAAATCAAGGCTTTTTTGTTTCCACAATGATTTCTTTGTTCTTTAAACAACATCTAGATTAAAAACCCATAGAAATTAGCTAATTACATTTCATTCCCAAATTATATTCTGGCTACAGAGGAGTAGGTTAGTTTGATTAAATGAAAATGCATACAATGTAAATTTATATATAAATATATACATACATTATAAGTATAAAGGATATGACTTCAAAAAGTTTCATAGGGTTCCCTTGTGGTATATATGTTCACAACAATATAGACAACTAAAATAGTATTTCTTTATATTACTCTTTAAATGGTTTCCATTTCAATCAAAACCTTTTTAATTGGAAAAATGGAACTGAAATTATGTGGTAATACATTCTATTAAAATGCCAATGTAAGACACTCTTTAAAAACTCATTAACCAATTAGTGTAAATTGGTTCTTCCTGTCCAAGAGGAAAAGCAACAGTGTGCTCAAATGATCATCTTATTGGTATTATCAAAGATAAAATATGATTACTCCCCAGTCACGATTGAAAGAAACAGAAAGCATTTTCTAGCTCATGAGCATGCTGACTATAATCTGTTTCAGCTCAGTTTTACACCTTTTATCTAAGCAGACCAGGAAGTACTGTTTAATGTGTTGTTAAAAAAATTAGAGATGTATAGCAGCTAAGCTATGTTTTCTGACACCAATTTCAATATTGCTATAACCCAACACTGTATACCGGTATTTTCACAGTTTTGTTTAGAAATAGAGGGATGTGGGGAGATTCAAAACGGAATAGTGGATGAATGCATTTTAAAATGTCAGCCGTCTTAGTGTACAGTTTAGGTGAAACAGACAATAATGTGCATCCAGCTCATGTACCCAGATATCCAAGTTACAGGGCAGTTCTTGTTCAGTTCTGGAAAGGCAGTTCATGATGCTTTACAAATCCAGACTACAGTGGAACTGTAACTGACATATGTCTTATTTTGCATTAACATCAAATCAAATACAACACACAAAGAAAAATAAGCAGTGTTTGGAACTCTCTGAGAGGCAGCATTGTTCTGATCAGATTAGGCCAGGCCTAAATAGAATCCAAGTCTTCATTTTAAGCCTCTGTGGTTTCATTTGTTTTGATGTACAACGCCCTGAGGAGATGGGCCAGACTGTAATGAAAGAGAGCTCAGACTCACTCTGTCTTTTCTGTTCACAGTTTGCAATATAATCTGCCACTATGGATTCGTACACCTATATTCTCTCTCGGAGTGATGTCACATTCACAGCACTATATCTTTTTAATATATACTGATATATTAATATATTTAATATATAAGGTTTCAATATGCATGTAGCATGTATTACATATACTCTAAATTAATATCCTTGATCTTAGTCAGCTCTGTCATCAAGGACATCAGCAGTTTGTCTCAGCCTTTAAATCAACGTAAAGGGACAGAAAAATGGGGAAAGGCCTGTTTTTAGATAGATATTGATCCTGTGAGGGAAATTGCAGAAATCGCAGATTCTATTTACTCACTTGAAAGACGCATGCACGAAAAAAAGTCATTTCTATCAAGGAAGCCACATGCTATCGGTAAACTGAAAAGCCAGTGGAGACAAAGCCTTTTTTAAAATGAAAATATCTCTTAGCCCTGGGTAAAGATACATGTGCTTTTCCTGTATATTCCGAATAAGACAGTTAAAGGAAAGTTTTTGATGAGATGCATTGCAGAAAGTGGCCTCTCTAAAGATTTTTGTCTTTTGTTTTGTCAAACCAAAACAGCAAATCGACAAAACCTATAGTACATATCATGGCGAAGGAAAATGAATCAGCTGTTCAGTCCCCACCCTGCTAAACTGCTTAAATGCTTACATGAATCCTCACAGTTCTTCACGTTCTGTAAAGATCTACAGTCTCATAGATCCAGGCAATTACAATCCTTGGGGGGAGAAATGTTAGGTCCAGACTAACGCCGGAGAAAGAAGACAATATCTGGAACTTTAACTCTACTGTACATCTACAGGTAGGCTGGACAGGAGGAGTTGGATACTGATGCAATGGGACAGTCCAAGGAGCTTGAATGAATGACCAGAGATCAGACCCACATGGTCCTTCTGATGAAGGGCAGGAAGGGACAGTACTTGGGAGCAAGAGCCCGATTCTCTAAAGAGCCCAGTCCAGAATCCAGAATCCAGAGCAAAGCTGGGAGGCCAGGAGGACTCAGTAATTGTAGGGGGAATGTGAGCAGTAGAATCTGACTGTGTAGCGGCCTTCCTGACCTGGTACACAAAACGCCAAACCGAAAAAAATATATACAGTATACACACACACATACAGATTCATAAAAAACAAGAATGTCTTTCTTCCGAGCCAGCGAAACGGCACGAGGTGGGCGGCAGGTCAGAGGTTGGAGGTCGGAGGTCGGAGGCCGGCTCTAAGTGTGGCTCTCTGGCGGGGGGGTGGCCTCCTCCTGCTCGTGCATCACCTGCACCCCCCCGGCGGGGGAGCGCACCCCACGGCCCGAGCTGCGGGCGTGGGGGGGCGTGCGCACGGGCGAGCGGGGGTACCGGCGGGCCGTGCGCGCGGGCGGGTCTGGGGAGCGGGACGGAGGGGGGGGGGTGCAGGAGTAGCTGGGGGGGCTGCCGGACTCCGACGGGATGCGGGAACGGGGAGGGGACTCGTCCTCGGTGTCTGGCGAGTCCTGCAATGAAACAGACACCTCTGGTCAGTGTCATGTGAGAAATCCGACTTAGATGGACTGGTTATACTGTACTTCCAAGGACAGGTGTATCAGATACAAGGGTTTCTACTGCTTAGCAAATGACGACTATGTTATAGCAAATTTAAATATTGCGATAATGGGCTTATTTAATCAGCTACAGGATTTATTTTCAGCTCTCAAGCTATCAAGAGTAATTTCCTATCACCTATCATGTCATTACATAATTTAAAGGCATTGATGCAGCTATACAGTACATCCCTTTTAAAACCAAGATGCACAGCATGCGTCTCTTCAAACATGCAGATGTAATGCGTTGAAAAACAACAATATATTTAAAATATATCATTTCACTAATGACAAGAGATTTGGCTGTTATCTCTGTGCTGAATCAAGAGGGTTCAGGACATGTAAATGCACATGCAAATGTCTCAAGCAATGTCACGCTAGTCTACTGTATGACAGTAAGTCGCCAGTCACGACGTGCTGTGAAACGCTCTACACAAGCCTTCGAATGCTGGCCAGGTTTGTCTCGCTCGAGCCCGAGGTCTGAGCTGTTCTGTGTTGCCTGCTGAGTGTTGATTTGCTCTGTTGAATTTTCCTGACTTTATCAGACAAGAAGGGCTCAGCAACATCACCATGTTGTTGAGCCACCCTGCGCCTTCAGAAATATCACCCTGTGACTCACAGCCCACTGAAGCTCAGCAGGTGTGAGCCGGGTCAGTACCTGGATGGGAGACTCCTGGGAAAGCTAAGGCTGCTGCTGGAAGTGGTGTTAGTGGGGCCAGTAGGGAGGGCTCACCCTGCGGTCTGTGTGGGTCCTAATGCCCCAGTATAGTGAAGGGAACACTATGCTGTAAAAAGGCACCGTCCCTCGGATTCGACGTAAAACCGAGGTCCTGTTTCAATGTCCTGACCAAACTGGTTTCATCACTCTGTTCTTCTCCTCTCTGATAGCTGGTGTGTGGTGAGCACAGTGTCGCATCACCCAGGTGGGACTACACATTGGCGGAGGAGGGGTCCCCATTACCTGTAAAGCACCTTGAGTGGAGTGTCCAGAAAAGCACTATATATGTGTGAGGACTATTCATTATTGCCAGTGGTGGGCATGCAGCTGCAGACAAGATTCAGCCAAACCTGATTGCTGCCAACATTTGAGCAGGCTGAGCTGGGATGAAAGGCACAACACAATGAACATGGATCAGCAGTAAGGATGCGATTAGAAGACTGATGGACCCCACACTGTTTTACAAACCCTACCTGAGGCACTGGCATGTCAATGCACTTCCTGGGGGGGTCTGGTCTCTGTAAGCACCAAACAGCAGGATTAGGGTGTCATCCACTGCTGCAGCACTGCTATCTCACCTTTCGTTTTCAGGAGAGGTGAAAGAGTTTTACACACCATGGCTCTGAGGCTTGGGGGTGGAGGGGCTCGTTTTTGCAACTCCAAAGGGAAAAGTGAAAACGTGTTCAGGTGTGTTGGTCAGGCTAGAAAAATATCACTTTGCTTAGACAATAAATGCAATACGTATGTCTGTATATCTAATCTTTTGACTTCTGGTTTCTTTTCGCAAAGTTAAGAGAAATCCTTTTTTTGAAGCAAAAAATGAAACCCTCACCCTTTCTTTCAGGATGTACAAGGCCACTGGATTCTTGCGCTCATGTTCAGGTTTCGGGACAGAGTCCGCTGGAGAAATGAAAAGGCAGAGTCAAAGTCTTTCTGTCTTCCAAGTTCTCTCCCACCAGCATCAGTGTTGCTCTAGTCATCCACAATATAACCCCGTTATCGCAGCACCAGCAACAGAGGATGACCTCCTTACAGTGTGGGCAAGAGCACTTGGTTTCTTATTGATGATTTTTATTCTGTGGGCGCCTACTCGCACAAGAAGAGGAGAAAGGACATCGCTCACTGATCTGAAAATTTCGCTTTCGTCGAAACGTGTTAAAGAAATAACACGCACAGGTGTGAGACTACAATATAATCACCGAGGCCTGCTTTCGCTTGTGTACAGTAGCTGCTAACAGACACCGAAGAAGGAAAAAGCAATCAAAAGAAAATCAACTGATACTAAAAAATCAATTTTAACTTTGTTAAATTTAATAGAGTTTTTCACACTTGCTGTTAACCAAATACCACAGCATGTGAGGTTTATGGCTCTTCTGGGAGGCAATAAGCTGTCATCTACCTGAAAAAACCCTGAAACAGAAGTTGTTTTAAAAGATATTTTGAAGAACATCAGAAAGGCTATGAAACAAAGGAGGCCATTGGATTCATCCAGCCCAATCAGTTGATTGGGCAACTACTAACAGTTGTTAGTAGCTCATTAATTTGAGTGTGTGTCTTGCTCCATACTCCCACACCTCTCTGTGCAAAGCTCTGCCTCCCACAACCCCTATTGTCCATTATTCCCCTTGCCAGAGAGCGCAGTGAAGATGCTTGAGCTCCCAGGCTGTTGAGCGGTGCCCCCTTGTCTCAGGGTGGCTGGGTCTTGTGAGATTTCAAGCCTGTAATGAAGTGAGTGAGGCTCTCTGGGCTGTGTGCTGTCCCTCAGAATTGCTTACCATCGTGTTTGGCATCATTCTGTTCCATAAACTCAGAGGATCCCTGCTTGTCCGTCTGCTGCTTGTCCCTGGAACGCCACAAAAGAAAGGCCCAAAAGATGTCAGAACACCCGCCTCCTGGCACGATTCAGAAGTGCTGTCATCATATGAAACACCAGTTAATAAATGTATTGTGAAATAACTGTAATGTAAAAATGTATTTTCATTAATGTAGAGTAATAACACAATTTTACACTGGTATATAAACAGTGCCAAATAATTCTAACCTAATACATGCATTTTATTTGTAACATTGGTGACAAATTTGGCTTTATTTTTTGGGAAAGTGGGGCCTGATTTTCAGGATATGAGGGAATGGTGCTCATACAGTCAGTCAGTGATTTAGGGGAATTATGAATTACTAGTGTAATTGTCTTTACGGACCCAGGTTTCCAACCAATTAAATTTCACATTGTTTCCATTCGTTGGAGGATTTATTTTCTTACGGTGGAAGCTGGCCCTAATAGGTTTGCTCCTAATTGAGCACAGCTCCATGAAAAATGTATAGGGCTGCATCACGTAAGAGAGCAGTAAGTGCAGCTGAGTGCTCTGAAACCAGGGCAGGATCAAGCAGGACCACGGTGGATAGGCAAATTAGATGTAAGATGCAAACACGATAAAACCCTGTAGCAATTAAAAACACTCTACAGGAAATCACTGAAAGCATTCCCCAGTGATCTGTAGAGGAACAATTTCCCTCCTCCTTGGTGGGAGAAATGAGCAGTAGGTGAATGCCAACTGTCCACTGTCCCTCACTGGCATAGAACCTCAAACTGCAAATGTGAGAGTAAACAAGAGCGAGACAAGAGCAGGCCTTACTTTTTGGATGGCTTCCAACAGGCGCACACGGTTACCAGGGTGATGAGGAGGAAAATGCCCCCGGTGGAGAGGATGATATAGAGCGAGCTGCGTCCTGCGGGGAAACAGGGGGCGGTCAGGCCGGGCTGCACTGCCACCGGAGACTCCCAGGGTGCTCCACTCACACCAGACTACGCCGTCAATGGCGGGTTTTTTTTAATGGAACCAGATTACACCTGCCTTCTTTCTTTTCTAAAACGCTGGGGCTCCGGGAAATGCGTCGTAGTAGCACCGAACAAACGACATAAAAATAAAATTCACTGGGGAACAATGTGTGCGTGGGGCATCGAGACTCTGCGAAGCGGCGTGCTGTCAGGCCCCTGGCTGACAGCGCAAGAGGACACAATGGCACCCAGCAGAGTTCACACACAGCAGGCCATCATCACACGGCACCCCGCAGCATCAGCGCAGCCTGTGGAGGAGCTGCATCCCCTCGGCTTCAGTCTGGTGGTTGACTTGCAGCTCTTCATAAACCTCTGAGCTGCGTATCAACCTTGGCCATCACTATGGTGTTTTAGGCCCAGCCCATTTGAATTGGTGCTCGTTCCGATTTTTACAGCTCGTTGACTCATTTGCATTTTGTACATCTGCCGTGCACTGCGAGCATACAGCGGCGATGCACAGAGCTCTCAGATCGTGCTCAGCACAGGTGGGCGCCACGCGAGATAAAGTGACAGATGTAAAATCACAGCCTGATTTTGTTTCACGAGAGCCGCAGCTTTCGTGCAGAATTTGGATTGATCTGTGATGTCGTGTATTTAGTTGGAACCACATTTCCGTGAGCTAAATAGCATTCAACTGTTCTGTGAGCTGGAAAAGGGGGAATTCCAGGGGCTTGAGTTCATGTCCTTGGACAAATAAAAGGCTAGCTGCACATGAGCAATTAGTCCTGTCCTTAGCTAAAAATACAGCATAATTAAGATGAGGCACCAATTAAGTTTAAAGAATGGAAGGCTCAGAGCTTCCTTATATAACAGCTATGGAGCCTTATGCCTTGCTGGTACTAAATGTTTGTGTTCTGAAGGTGAATGGAGCAGGAAAGAGGCCCATCCGCACCCAAGCCTAGATTCTTTCAGCTTTGGTAGAGTGCCATGGAGGAAGAAAATAAATAAAGACATCAAATCCTTTGTGGCCGGAGCAGCTCTTTTTAGTATTCCACAGATTGTTTGCTGAATTGCTTCCTCCTCCATTCCCCAAAGCAGTTTTATTGCACAGTGGAGTCAGCCTACCAGAAGCCCTCTCTGAGCCCCGTGTGCTGGATGGGAATTGATAGCTTCTTCATTGTGCAGTGGATTTCAGTCCTGCAGGCTGATAGAAGTGGCCTGAAGTCACGAGGTGTCACTGCTATTGTAGCCTGTTGGCTGGGGTATAATGCAGCCCTTGTCTCCCTGGTTCAGGAAGTGCAGTGCAGTGCACAAAGAAGTGAAAGAGGGCGTCACTTCTAAGGCGTCCACTTCTCCCTTCAAAGCAACACAGCCGAAAGCCTTTCTCTCTTGCCTAGAGGGGTCCACTCAGGGGGCTCACAGGCTCCTGGTGGCTTCTGAGACCCTCAGTCCGGATTAGCTCTCAGTGGCTTTTATCTTACAGATACACGCATTTCCCTTCTCTGCCTGTTATCTCAGAGCGGGAATCGCTGCCTAGATGTCAGCCCTGATTTCAGCCACTTTCACTCACCGTGAAATCAGAAGCCAATCTAGAATAGACAGGTTTCTCTCACCCTGGTGATAGTAAGCAAATAAAATGCAGCCAGGCCTGAGCCTTCTTAAGCAGGTGTTTTGGTCTGCTTCCCAAAGTAACTTGGATGTAGCAACAGGCTAATTTAGTGAATCTTGCACAAGTCTGTGAATTCTCTTGTAGGCTGCTACTGTTACACACTTTTAAAATCACTCAACCCTATTCAATCTCCAAATAGAGGCAATAATGTTGTACCCTTCTGAAAACATTGTGTGTTTATACAGAATACAACATGTTACAACAAATGGAATTACGGGACAGTTTAGGAGGATTGTTGCCTTAGCAATCCCAGGGCAACTACTCTGTGGTATTTTGTAAATGCTCCAACAGTGGACTGTTGACACATCCCAGAAGTATTCATCCTGTGATAATACAATCTTACCACAAGGTTCACCTGGTTTCACAGGGTTCACCTTGGTTTTTTACTTAAAGTGCTGGTGTGCCTCCCCTGCAGAATTACACAGAAGAGCTGTCATTGTCAGGACACGTACATAACCTGGGACAGGGTTCCTCTGTAGAGTGCTTGGTACCAGCATTTTTTTTACAGTGTAGTTCATCACGGGATCACGGGACATTTAAGAATATTCTGCTCACATTTGTTTGCTGTAGTAATTTGCAGAAAGAACTGCGGCACCCGTGTAAAACTGCAGGGTATCTACAGCAGGGGTTCCCAATCCTTTCAGTGCAGCCGAGCTCTTGACTTCAATGAGTCCTCCACTGAGCTGACAAGCTGCTTGGCTGCAACCTACTGTATGCAAGTTGTTTGTTTTTATTCGGCCCAAAGGCTGGAGATTTTAAGCTGCTTAAGAAACGTGTTAGTTAGAAGGAGACCGTGTTGAGGAACTGAAAACAATGGAAGAGTTCAAATGGAGCTTAATGTTAGGTCCACGAAGTGCTAGGTTTGGGATGCCCTGCTCTGCAGCTTCCTGCCATGTGCCATGATCACCCCCGCAGTAGCTCCAGTGCACCAAGCTCTCTATGTATACCTATAACAGGTGTCCCTACTCACTGTAGACGGTCAGCTTGACGGGCAGGCTCTTCATGCTGCTGATGGGGTTCTCCACCGTGCAGCTGTAGACGTCATCGTCCGACATCAGCACGCGGGCGATGGTCAGGACCTTCTGGTCGGGCGACAGCTGCAGGCGCGAGTCGTTGGCCAGGGGCTTTCCGCCCTTCTGCCAGCTGTAGACGACCTTGGTGCCGTTCTCGTGCGAGCAGTTGAGTGTGAAGAGCTCGCTGAGCTCCAGGACCGTCGACGCCACCATGTGGATGGAGGGTTTGGAGACGGGGACTGCGGGCACAGACGACAGGCGGTTCAGACCTTCGCGCCGCTAATTCTAACTGGGCAGAAGGCCCAGATCTTTACCCAAACTAAGAAGAAAACACAAAATCAAATTATTTTTGGTCTTCTCCTGCTTATCTGTATTGCCTGTGCTCTGTGTGATCTGTTTTCTGTGCCTAGACTAGGCTAGTCTTTAGTTACTATTGCACTTGTGAAATTCTGCACTTTTGAACATCACCCTGAACACCAGTGTGCACGACAGATTGCCACAATCGTTATGAAGCTTTCAGATCTTCAAACCAATCTGCTGGTCGGCAGACAGACCCATAGGGACACACTTAGCTTCTCAAACTGCATAAGGGTAGTGCACAAATTTCAGTTGCTCACTTCCTTCTTTTATTGGCCTGGCTGCTGGCCTTACTTCCTTCCTGTATTGTCTCAGATGGGAAGTGTGCATTGCAGGCAGGTACAAGAAATAACACAAAACACAACACACTAAACACAACATGAACAAACAAGAGACATACATGCATAGGATAAGACAGGCTGGCAGCTTAAGTAATTTTTACAATTTAGAAAAAAACTGAAAGTAGGTCATCGGTGTGTGTGAGATGGATGGATACATCAGATGCACGCGGGATGAAAAAATAAGGTAAAATATATACTGATGGAAAAAAGAAATGCAACATCTTCTGGAATGAGAATACTATAGTTATAGTTTATGTACTTTCACAAAAAAGTTGTCAATTTGTTTTAAGCCCTCTGACCAGCAATACAGCTTGTGCAGTGAGGCATTGCAACTTGCCAATCACATGAAAGCTCGTTAGGTGCACTTTTACCCAACGAGGTCCAGGTGGAACAATGCCTGATCAGGTCACCTTTATAAAGGCCTTAATTCAAATTAGGTCACTGCAAGAAAAAGGCCACACTTAGTTTTCTGTGCATTTCACAATGCCTTGAAGGTCACCAGAAGCAAGGGAGAGGGCCACTGGCATGCTGCAGGCAGGCCTGTCATGTGACACTATGGACTAAGACGCTCCACTGTGTCCCGACTGCAGAGAAGGTTTCAGCAGACCGGCAGGACAGATGACCGTCCAAGATCCGGTCGCCCTCGAATGACCACACCAGAGCAGGACTGACACATCAGACTGGTCCATCTGAGAGATCGTTTCAGATCTGCCACCCGTACTGCTGCTGAAACTGCCAGCAGACACAATGCCCACATCAGTGACAGGACAGTGAGGCTCCATGCTGCTGGCCTCAGAGCAAGGCGACCTGTCAGAGGCCCTCTGCTCACACCTCCTAGACGTCACACCCGACTGGCTTGGGCCAGACAGAGGCTGCGATGGACTCATCAGCAGTGGCATCAGGTCCTCTTCACAGATGAGTCACTCTTCAGCCTGTTCCACGCAGATAGGAGGGCCAGAGTGTGGAGGAGGAGGTGTTGCGTTTCTTTTTTGCATCAGTATACAATCACTAGTCGAAATTAAGCAGGTTAGCATCTGTGGAAATAAAGGATAACTATTACTATGTTCTATTACACCTAAATCCAGGTAGTCTAAATCAATATCCTGGTGGAATGGGCTCAGATTCACTGTGTGAGGGGTTTGCTATAACAGTCAATGACTATATTGGCCTTCTGCACTCTAGACAGTGAAGCAGGAAAGTGCAAGAGAGATGGCTAACACAAGACTACTAATTGAAGATGAGCAAAAGAGAAAGTCAGTCAAATTTCAGGACAAAAGTTAGATTTCCAGTAGATGTTTCCAGGAGCCTTAAAAAAGCCTTCCCGACGTATGAGTAATCTCTTTCTTTCCCCTTTTCATACTTCCATTCATTGGGAACCTCGGATGATTTCTAAAAATAAAAGTACATGTGTTTCATAAGCTTCTGCAAAAGGCCAACAGAAGCCAGGCTAGGCATCTGAAAGCACCCGACCTGGAGCCCCGCCCTCTCCTGCGGCCTTGTGCAAGAGCCACAGAGCTTGTAGCTGGAGACTGGCTGTCACTCGGTTCGGGCGGCTGATTGCGTGGTGCCATTTTACAGTGGCCCAGAGAGATGTGCATCCTTTTAGGCCTATAAACCATCTGGAACTGGGCTGTAGAATGTGAAAGGGCACGCAATCTCAGATCCAGAGGGACATCAGGTATTTAGGCCCTGGAGTTTGAAGTTTCTGTGAAAAATGTGCTGGTTATTTGTAGTAGTTTCCAGTAGTGCTATTCCGTTGTAAAAGCACAGTGAAAAAGAACACGGCAAGATCTGCATGGTAGTGTGTCAGGGAGAGGGAGAAGGAGAGGTTGAGGGAGAAGGAAAAGAAGGAGAAGGTGGGAATGAATTCAGAAACACTTTCTCAGATCTCAGAACCCCCAGCAGTGCCCGCTGAGCCTGTGCCAAGTGTCTTACCGTCCACCGTGAGGTTGATGTGGTGCTCCCCCGTGAAGGTGTCATCGGTGATGGAGACCTCCACCTCGTAGGTGCCCTCGTCCGAGAGCTGCAGGTTGTGCAGCAGCAGGGTGCCGTTCTCGAAGACGTGGATGCGGTCCCGGTACTCGGACCGCAGGTTCCCGATGATCTCGGTGCCGATGGACTGCACTACCGTCACCGGCTTGTCCCTCTTCAGCTGCCACTTGATGACGGGCTGGTCAGAGCTGGTGCTGGTGTAGCGCACCGAAAGCAGAGCCACGCCGCCCAACGTGCCCCGGATCAGAGAGCCCTGGCTCGTGATGTTCACCCCCTTCACCGCACCTGGGCCAGTCCGGAGAGCAGAGACGAGCCCGTCAGGCCACCCCTGCAACTTCTCAAGCTCCAGAACCACCAGGGCCGGCCCAGGGCCCCGAGGCCACCAGGGGTCCCCTCAACGTGCAACACGATATATATTAAAATAAAAATGCCATATAGTGGCTCTTTCTGTTGCTGCTCTTGATCTTCCTAATGGAAGCCCAGTCCAAAACAGGACCTATCATAATCGAGCACATAATGTGTCTGTCGTGCAGAAAACAAGAGAATGATAAACGATCTCCAACCAGAAGTACTGTAAGCCTAATGTAGTCATTGTAATAATACACTATAATACACCATACACATTTCCCACAACTGGCTAAAAATCGGCGCTGCCCGGCCAGGCAGAATCGTGAAAGCGAACGTACAGTACAAACGACTCTTCTGTGAATTTGAGTGGTGTTGAGTGTATGATGATTATACGTAATCGGCATTATAACGCATCGTTTTCCCTGCGGTTTCTCCTGACATTCATTAAATGGGGGTGGTGTGAACCCATCCTGTAGCCCTTCGGATTGCAGGCGCTCTCCCAGTCCAGCGGCAGGAGCGGAGAGCAGCTTTTCAGAGCTCAGAGGGAATTAGAATTTACCGAAAATGCAGGCAAATTGATTTCGAGAAAGTTTTTTATTTAAAAAAATTCCCATCTGCTCAGCCTTACTGGTCACACATCCCTGGTTACTGAGTGCACTTGTTTTTTTTCCTTACTTAATTTTATATTTCTGCAATTCCTTTCTGCAAAGTTTCTGTGCGGTACTTTTTATGTTCTGATTTGCTCAAATTTAGAAGTAACAAAGATCCTGTTTATCCTGATTTGTTGTTATTAATGCTCCCTTTTATTGCTTTCAATGTTAAAATATGTTATCGTTTTACCGATTTGTAAAATGGGTGCCTTGTATTCTTGTTATGTGTTATTCTGATTAATAAAACTTTTCTTGGTATAGAATTTTATTTTTTTGTTCTACATAATAAAATAAGGTTGTGATGGGAGCTAATAATAAGTAGTGTGTGTGCAAATCGTGATCTGAGGGGACCCCTTTCCACGGTCTTGTCTAGAGCCCCCCAAAAAACCAGGGCAGGCCCTGAGTATGACACGTGCTCTAATCCCATTTTGAGTGCTCTTCCCCTTTTGATCCCAAAATCAACATCCATCTGATCCCTTTCTCTCACTACAGTTAGTAGAATTAAAAACTTGCAATGCTTTACAAAAGCATGAGTTCTGGAGCAGCAAAGCCCGAAAATCAGTAGAGAGTAACCAAATTTAATTTAATCATTTAAGCAGGTTTGCATTTAGATTAGATAGATGAAGCCAGACCTGCCTTGCACGCCTAGATGGAATGGAACAGTTAACGAGAGGAAACTCCCATGCAAGCTCCACACAGACAGGTGAAATGAGTCCTAGACACTGGGACTCACCACGGCACGGTGCACTGCAATGTCATTTGCACACCCTGAGGTACAGTCCCACAGATACCTACGGAGCACGCACGTGCTGATCAGGACAGATTATTGTTAGGTGCGCTGCTAGCCAGTCTTTGACTTTTACCAATGTGTTTATTATCAGAGTTCTATCAGAGTTTTTATCAGTGGTGCTCCCCCTTTCTCATTTTGCTGCAGAGCGTAAAGTAAATGCATTGGGTTCACCTTGTTAAGATATTCTAGGCTTGGGTCAAGTCCCCTCCTTCTCCAGACTGAGGAGATCCCGTTCCTTTAGATCAGGGGTTCCCAACCGGTTGTTTGTCACGTTTGACACGTCAATGTGTCAAATGTCACAAAACGTCAATGTCAAATTAAATAGCTCTATTAATGAATAACATTGTAGTTATAAGAATAAGAAAAACAAAAGTCGTAATATTAATATTTTACAAAGCGAAAAGAAGCGCGTTAAGTGGATTACTTAAGCATTTATCCACATTTATGGAAAGGTTTGATTTAGTTAAAACCTCAAGGGGGTACTTGAGGCAAATAATTTGGGTTGAAGGGGTTCAGCTGACAAAAAAGGTTGGGGACCCCTACTTTAGATTATCTGCGCAGGTCAGAAGATCAGAAAATCAGCAAGCAATAACAACAACTACTGGGGTGTCCAGCATAAAGCAAACATTAGTCATTCAGGGCTTGCAGGAATATGCTGCACAGTGCCCAAGGGGGGTAGTGTCACACGAGGGTCTGCAGATTCTCCTGATCTTGACTGAATCACTCAGGGCCTGCACTGCTCCCGTCCCCGGGACTCTCACACAATCAATGAGGCGGTGAAGTGTACTTTTTTTAAGGGAATAAGCAGGAAAAGCAGATTAGTGTCCTAGAAGAGACACTCTCCACATTCCAACACTCCTGATTGGCCGCCGGCCCTTGTCTCCAGTCGTGGAGTGGGCCACTGGCACCCTCGCGTGTATCCCAGGGCTGGTTTGATGGCAGCGAGTTTGTGTGGCACAGCGGGCATCGCTACAGCGCCGCGGCAACAGTTTGCAGAGTGCGACGGGGTTGCCAGGCTGCGGGAACAAAGGCCGGGATTGTTGGACTGATTTCCTCTCTGGCAGCCCGAGAAAAGGCCCCTCAGAGAAAGACAATGTTGGCCATTGGAAAGCCCGAGATGCAGGAGCCCAGCGATTTTGCTAATCGCAGCGCAAGACAATGACACAACAGAATGCTACATTTCCAGCCTCTGGGCCTGGGCCGTGCGTAGCGGTGAACACCACCACCCCCCCCCAGTTCCTGTCTCTCCCTGCCCCACCCTCCTTTCTTCACGGCTGCCTCGAGGTCCACCTGAAGGTGGCTGCCGTCGCTAGGGCCTCTGGACAGAGACTAAAGCTGGGCCTTTGCTGACCAAGCCTCCCCCCCAGCAGGAAGACTCCTGTCACTGCCTGTGCCTGGCTGCTGAGACCGTTGAGGGCGTGGAGGAGTGTGCCCACAGCTGGGTGCTCCTGCCTGGCAACCGGGAGGGAGAGGAGCCTGCTGGAAGGCGGTCTCACCCGCCCCATCTCAGGTTGGGCAGAATGACAGCACCTTACTGTATATAATCACCAGAAGAACCGTGAGCCGCGGGTGCAGAAAATGACCACCAGGCGGGCATCAGATCCCGAACAGCTTACAAATGAAAGGGAACGGTTTTATTGTGCTGGTTGTACTGGGCTGAAGCTTTTATGCAAAGTGGCCTACAGTACATTTTCACCCGTTTCTACAGCTGAGTATTTTTACTGGAGCCATGTGGGTGGACTATCTCGCTCATGGGTACAACTGCAGTGTGTCACACGAGTTTCGAAGCCACAACCTTCCCATAGCAGCTTATTAACTCTGTTGGGCCCGTGAGCAAGGCCCTTAACCCCATCTGCTCCAGGGGTGCCATATACTGTAAATGGCTGACCATTCACTTTGAACCCCAAGCTTCTCTCCCTGTCTGTGTGTCTCATGCAGAGCAAGTTGGGGTATGCAAAAAGACAAATTCCTAAGGCAAGGAAATGTATATGACCAATAAAGTGATCTTATCTAAACCCCAGAATTACTCATCCCCTGCAGAGTAAACAGGGAAGGAAGAACAAATGTAGCAGGAGAGTCACACCAGCAGATAAAACCATATTCATGTTCTCCTTGTTCCAGCTCTCCTGGGGTTGACATTGCAGCAGACCTACTCCTAATCCAGACAGGAGGATGAATCCTTTGATGTCTGCTCTACTGGGCGGCTGAGACATGCACCACAGGGTGTCTTTACATTGTATGGGACTTTTATGAAGTGTCAGTTGGAGGAGATTTTTTTTCTGTCTGAATTCCATTTTATCTGAGTGGCATCTACAGGTTGAGGAGAAGGGGGCCCCACTCAGTTAGCATACCTAATTAACATGGATAGCATGTCTTCAGAGGCAGAATGATAACAGGGGTAAGTGGTGTTCTGCCTGGCTGAAACATTCATTCTCCCCCCGGAATCAAATCCAAGGACCTAGAGCTGGTAGCCAGCATTACTAACTACCATATCACTATGCAGCCTAGAAAACCATCCATCTTTTATCAGGAAGCTGCTTTTTCCTGGTAAGCAACTAGGGTGCAAGTTGTATTTCTGGGACAAAACGTATTTGGGCAGCACATCACTCGGATAAGTCGACACTGACACAAAACATGCAAACTCCACAGAGAAAGTGCCCCAGTCAGGAATCAAACCCAAAACACGAGAACAAGCTGTGCTAACCTCCATGCCAAACCAGTGTTGCACTTTGTAAAACCACGTTCAGGTGCATATTCTACAGTGTGCTTGTACTGAACCATTTGGTTTTTAATTGCACTTTTTGTGCATGTTCATAACGGCCTGCACCCCACTCCAACCCCATGTGGGCAGTCTGGGCAAGCTCCTACATCCCCAGGACTTCCCAGCTAAGATTAAGAACAGTTTATGAGTTTTACAGCTATATTCGGGGGGCCTTACATAAAATAATCGCCTCATTTAATCAAAGAAGCTTCACAGTTTCACAGGAAATTGTTTTTCTCATTGTTACAACAGAGGCTACCAGGGGATTGTACTGCTTGATAGCCAGCTGTCGAATTCTATTTTCTCCAGAGCTTTCAAATCTGATGGACGTGAAACAGGGAGCGTCTGAGGAACACATGTACCGAGAGTTAGCAACACTCCACCATGACTCATATTAAACCTGCTGAGGTCTGGGCTCCCTGCTACAAAAAGGCCATTGTGGTACCGAGGAGAGGAACTACAAGACCAGGCCCTTCAGGGCATGACTTGCAGAAGCACAGTAGGTTAAAAGAATCAAGTTTATTCCTCTAAAGGCAAAAGCAGCCTGACAGGAATGTAATCCTGGCTAAAGTGCTGTCATCCTACAGGCAGTAGGGCTGTGAATACAATAAGTCCTCTGACTGACAGAGAAAAGCCTGTTATCTAATTTTCCCTGTATTTTAACAAAATAAGTTACTCACACATTAAATACAGTGCCTGATTTTCTTTTCTAATAACATGAAGCAAGATGAAATTCATGAGCCAACAGTGTGCTCTGATCAAATTACATAGTGTATCAACAAGGGAGCCTACATCAATGTCTGTCATTACTGTCACTGTTTGATACCTTTCTTAAACATTTGTTCTGGCCACTGTTGCAATGGAGCTGCTTCTTAAGAGCTTTCCAAAATGATTATTTAATGGATATTATTATTTCAAAACACCAATAGTAGTTTTATTCATGAGAAGGGTATTGCTGCGTCTGGGCCTGAGGTGTTAATTAAAAAAAACTAAACTTAATTTGAAGCCAAAATCCTTGTGGAAACTGCAAATTCGTCTTTGAAGCTGGGGGACATGCTGGCATGAACAGGCCCTTTGATAAAGCCCTCTGCGTTAAAAAAAAATTAATCACATGAAAAACAGATGTTGAGCTACAGGACAAATTAGCAGCAGAGGCTTAATATCATATAATTATAAATATATATGTTTTAAGTTACAAGAAAATAATTAAAGAAATATTTTCATTCACTTTGCCACATGGATTTAGCTCGGATCACTTAACTTGTTCTTCAGTAAGCCGCTGAAGTAAACTGTTTTGGCCTTCCACCTGTTTAAAATCCACACTTATTTTGAATACGTAAGGCTGAGATTCCCTCACTAACACTGGTTTAGGACGCAGGGAATAGAGAATTTAGGGCAATATTCTCTCTGTTTTGACGCCTGTGTGTTTTTCTAACAGTAAAAAAAAAAAAACGTTGGCCGCTCCCGTCTCGATGTGTCGTGAATTCGTGGGTAGCAAATCGTGTGTTGGGATGTGCTGAATTTCACACCCCTGGTGGTGCCGATAACGTCTTTTTAAAAAATGAATACGGCGCATTTCAATGTTTTGTTCCAACAGGGCTCCCTCAAAGAATGAAAAACTCTCCTAGTTAGGAAAGAGCCTGTCAGGCCGCAAGTGTTACTTTGCCACAAGAAAAGCCCAGAAAAAAAGAACCTCTAAGCAAATAAAACAGTGATCAGCGATGAAAAACCTTCCCACGGTTCACATATTGCGTCATCTATCCTGTGCAAAACCTTTCTAATTCAGCGACTACCTCAAAAAACCCAAAAGGATGCTTTCTCTAAAAAAAACCCAACCTATCCTTAAATTATTGCATTTCTTCGATTTCTTGGAACCCCTCGTCAATTCATATTTTACATTTTATTAGATTTAATTAGAAGGCTAAAAGAAAACCTCAAGACGCCTCACACCCCAAAGAAAAAGTTAAGATTTGGCTGCGTCTGATCACCTACATACCCAGAGAAATGTGCGTGCCCTCTCTTTTCCTCCCACCCCTGAATGCTGTACCAGGGAAAACATTCCCTGACTTGACAATTCCCACAGTCTCAGGAAAAAACAAACCAAGCAAAAGAAGAAAGTTTCAGAGGATTTCCTTACCGGACTGCGAAAAGGCAAGAAAGCACAGGATCCGCAAAACTGCAGAAGCAGCCAAAACTCCTGAGGAAGCCCCACTTTCTGCCTTCATCTTGGGTTTAGCGCTGGGTTTCTCTCCCAGACAATTAGCATGATTTGTCCACTCTGGGCACGTCCCGGAGAACTGCTCGGAGCTGTGATCGCAAGCCTTGAGCTCTGCCAAGAAAGCCCTGCACACACAGGACTTGTGTATGACGGGGCCTGCGAGTTTGCGAGTCTGTGTGTGCGCACTGCAAAGCCTCTGGCGAGCACAGTGGGTCAGCCTCTCTCTTCACACCGCTATCCCCCTCCTGCACTGCCAGGAGATGGCAGGATTGGAAATTCTTCCATTGCGTTGCTTTTATTTTTCTGTCCTTCCTAAAATATGCCATCTCAAACCCTTGTCGGCCATTTGTTACGGTTTTTGCCACCTTCACTTTGTGCTGCTGTGATTCTTTAAAGCCTCACTGCAAGTTATAAATGGCAATTCGGAAAGGCAACAATGTCAATGTTTTCTGAAACATAATAACTTGCGTGGCTCTGAGCTGGTACATGAATTGTGATTTGCTGACTGAAAAGTCAACTTAATTTCTGGTTGGTTGTTTTGTATGGCACTGCCAGGCACACAGGAGCAGGAAGGACTACAGAGTGATGGGTGTCCTACAGTCTGGTGGCCTATCCAGGTGCTCTTACTAGTAATCTCATGATTCCAGTACTATTTCAGGATGTTTCTCAGTCCTGTCCTGGCACTGGGAGTTTAGCGAGTCCAAACTAACTGAGCTGAGCTGTATGTTCTCTAATACAGGCAGACACCCGTGTCAATGCAAGCAAGCATTTGTGCTCAGCTGTTTGAATCCAAAGGGCCTGAAAAGGTTAACTCGATTAGTGTTCCACCTACCATACATAAATCCACTCTATTTTTGCTACTGCGGTGCCCTGGCTCTGTGGCTCAGGATCTGCGCCTGTGGCTAGAAGGTTGCCGGTTCAAAACCCGGGGCCGGCAGAGAAATCCTACTCCATTGGGCCCCTGAGCAAGGCCCTTAACCCCAACTGCTCCAGGGGTGCCTTATAAATGGCTGACCCTGTGCTCTGACCCCAGGCTTCTCTCTCCCTGTCTGTGTGTCTAATGGAAAGCAAGTTGGGGTATGTGAAAAGACAAATTCCTAATGCAAAAAATTGAATATGGCCAATAAAGTGAGCTTCTTCTTAAAAAGAATATGTATTTTATATAGCATGTCTAAAAGCAATGTCAGGGCCCACTGCCATCAAACCAGCCCTGGGATACATGTTAGGGTGCCAGTGGCTCACTCCACGACTGAAACTAACCCCCTTTAGGCACTGTGCAGCATATTCCTGCAAGCACTGAATGACTAATGTCTGCTTTATGTTGGAAACTCCAGTAGCTGTTGTTATTGCTTGCTGATTTACT